ACATGTTTAAAGGTAGAAAGGAGCACCACAGGCTTCTGTTGTTAAAAACCAAATGTTTACAAGCTAAACCGGTGAAGAGGGACGAGAACACCCCTTTACTTTTTATCCCTTTATAAATCTGCCGACGGAAAATTAAAATGTGTCAAAACTATACATTTTTGTGAAGTTCAAAACGTGTAGATTGCATTCAATAAGAAAAAACCAGTCAACAATTACACATTTATATTANGGGATTACAATCTTATGGACCACTTGCTGATTGGCTGATTTAGTTCTGTGAGTCTTAATAACCGATGTTTCTTTTTTTCATTGTGGCAATATAGACAGAGTTAACGACAAAACGAGTAGAGTAGCACGAGACAAACTCGAGCACGTGAGGCAAAAAGAATAATGATTTCCAAATATGAATAACTTTTGAAGAATGGACTAGGTTTCCATGGCTGCCATTGAAACCTTAACAGTTAGATTTTTGTTTGTTGGTTGATGGAATAACGCCATCATAATTAATAAATCTTATAATTTTGAAGATACAGAGGAACAACAGGGAAAGGATGGAAATAGGTAGAAGAAAGGAGAGCATAACATCCCACGGGTTGCAGTGGGAGTAGAGGCTTATATGTTGTCAGTAAATATCCCGCAACAGATCATACAGAAGGAAACGTTAACTTTTGTAGGGCTCAATTTTAGTGGCTTTTACAACGGGATATAGTTGCTCATTTCACCCCTGTTTTTGTTTAATCCCCTGCAGCACATGAACATTATTAACGCTATTACCATATGACCATTTCCAAATCCTAACTATAGAGGGATGGGGGAAAAAAATAACGGTTTCATAAATTCTTCAAACTTACCCGAACCAAAAATCTTAACGATTATAGAATGAATCTTTCGTCATAGTCGTTTCTTGACGCTCTCAAGCACACATTCTTATCTGAGAACTATTTTAATTTGATTATTAACACCTGAACGTTTTAATGTAAAACATGAAATACATGGTGCATTTGTGATGGCTATAACTGCTGTGACTAACAAAATATACATATTAATTGGCAGGACCTGCGATCAATTTAAAAGGTGTGTGCGTTTCAAATGGAAAAAAACCCCGTGTAGTTTTAGAGAAAATGGGCATGCGGGGGTTGAGAGGACTGGGAATATTGTTCCCGAATCTTTAAACCCCCGCTGGATACATACGCAGTTCGTTGTGAAATACGCAAAAGGCTACCCCCACAATACAACAACATGGTAAAAAATGTTTTCATGAATACGCAAGCGACTATTGTTAACATAAGCATTTCTTTTCAAGATTAAAACATTTAAATTCAATGCAAATATACCTATTTCATGAATATTGAATAAGACAATGTTTTCTGATACAATGTGCCGAAATTAAAGGAATTCATGTGCGATTTATTGCAATCGACGTTATATATGTATACATTGTCGAAATACTGTTAGCTTTCGTAATCAGACCATTTATTTGTAAATGGTAACAGAACTGATTGTAAGCATTGCTTTCTGACATCCCTGAATTACACGCTTCCGTCGCCAGACAAAGCGTGAAGTTGTTTATGTGATAAGTAGATGTGTAGAAATAGTGACACGTGCTAGTGATATCCTTCTATCATTTCCCACTACTATGCAAACAATTTGTAGTCGTTAGAACAAAACGGCTGGCGACATTTCCCAATTTTCTGCTTGGTTTCAAAAACGCCATTGCAGATGAGAGCTTTCCCTTCTTGTTCTACTGCTTAGAAAAATAGAATAGCATGGTTAGTTTTACAGCTATAGATGCAAGAAAAACACACAGAGAAAGGAAACTTGTTTAGTTTGCATCAGTTGAAACCAAGCCCTTTCGTATTACCTTGTATCAATGGCCCACTGGTTTGTAGTATGCATATTACCAAATATGGTTAACTTCTTGACGTCAGCATTAAGAAAATATATATGACTTCATATCTTTGTGACGTTACATTGGTCGTAATAGCAACAGCGTCATATGACGACAGAGAAACCGTCATGGTAAGAAACATATTTGTTTATTTCCACGAATATTTGCATAATTTTAAAAAATGTCATTCAAAAAGAATTTAATTTCTTTCCATTTGGTGCAAAATTTAGGAATTTTACGAACCGCGATCCGAGACTTTCCCTTCATTAAAACATAGCCTCGCTCGACTTAAATGGAAACTTTGAGACTCGTTTTGTAAATTTCATATGGAATTGAAACTCATTTAAGATAAATTTGATGTTTTGGTGTATACGTGCCTAACGAAACAATTACTATTTTTGGATGTTAAGCCATTGCTTCCTACATGACATTTGACAACTTTCATTATATAGGTTTGTATTGTTAAGCTGACACAACACATGACACCACACACAGAGTTCTGAGCTCATTCTCTTCTTCTTAGTGGCATTCGACGCGTTTGTAATCAAAATGCAAATATGGGAATACCGTCCTGTAGCTCAATATGTGTTTATGTTAAGAACGGGCTTTTCACCAACGTCACATCACGTGACACTGTGCGTCTGAAGGTCAGAGCTCTGAACTGGTCGAGTGATAAAGAAATACACATTATTTGTTTGATACAAGTTGAAAGTAGGCATCTAACGCTATCGACTAACAACTGCAAAATAAATAGTTTCATATATTTCTTATTATTCAAATGATTTTATATCAAGACTCTATAGAAACTATCAGGCAACAAACTTTCATTATGAAAATTGTCTTGAAAATTATTTTATAGAGAGATTTTTTCTTGATACATAAATACTCCAAATTGAACAGTTTGGAGCGCGAATGCAAAAGCACTATTCGCGAAAATTAAGGTTCATGTATGAACTCGATGATAGAATTGGATACCGTGGTTGTTTTATTGGAGTTTGGAAACTCATCAAAGACCATTTATAATTGAATTTGATTACAAGGGAATGTCATTAAATCAGCGACCTTTATTTCTAGATCATAAGAGCTGAATTTTCAATACTAGGATAATTGTACTTAAAAAAAGGGAACATGTCCACTTATACAGTAGCTTGATAATCAAAAATATTGGTTTCATGCTGGATGGATTTACGAGTTTCAACTACATAAATTTATAAAGTTGAGAATTTCTAATAGTCATTTATACCAAAAACCCGCTGCATCCGAGATATTCTCTTAAATGGAGCCCTTGAAAGTATTTTGAAATCATAACCACACCACTCTTTTCACTAAGCAATACATGGACCTACATTTGTTCACAGCATTGAATACTAGTTGGCAGTTTTCAATTAGTATGGATTGCTGTTATCAGTAAATGGATACTCAATCCGGTTGGATAAGAACACGTTGCATTACCTTAGATATACAGTGCTAAAGTGATATTTGTCCGTTTTGCTTACTGTTTGTCACTTTGATTGAAGTGATATGTTTCGAGTTGTATGTCCAAACGGCAAACATGTTCTCCGTGTGAGACTTATCAAAAGACAAAAACTGTCACTTTCTTATTAACGAATCTAGGTATTGACGTAATGGAAAGTTTACACAGTTTGGCCGTAATTCTTCTCACGTATGTATATATATAATGTGTGAAATGCAGGTTAAGTAAAGGGCATCGATAATCTTTGCAAACCCGTGTCTGACCTCATTACTTAAGTACGACAATCAAACATGATAAAACTTACATAAAAAATACTACTTTAGCTATAGTTATATAAGCATCTTAAAAATATACATTTTTTTCATTTGAATTAATATTTATCTTCATTGATACTACAAAAATATAAGGAACACGTGTTAGGCTTATATTAACTGTTTTTGGTAACCCGGGTAGAAGCGTGCAGGGCATCCTGATAGGAAAAGAAACTGCAAGGACCGCTTTCCTATTCACGTCTACTTAGGGAATCAAATACCAGCCATTTTGACGACAAGCGAATACGCTAACCAATGCGACATTCAACTATTCCACTTACGATAGTTCAAATAAATAACACATTGTAATAAGTCCTAATACATTTAATTTGAGTTTCATTTTCACGAAATATTCTTCCTACCTACAAGCTGCAATTGCATCGGCGTGTAAATTAGATTTAGTTGAAGATTTTACGACATTCTTAATTAGATTTTTCTAATTTAAATTCAAATATATGGGTGGTCGGGTGGCGCAGTGGATAGCGCACTTGCCTTTCACCAAGGCGACCGGGGTTCGATATCCCGATCGGATGTGAAAAGGTTGGGGTCACCTTTCCGATCACGTGGGTTTTCTCCGGATACTCCGGTTTCCTCCCACACTAAGACCCCCCATGCGCGAACATCCGAGCCAACAAGAGTGAAAGAGTTGAAATAACTTGTTTCATAATTGTTGTTAAATAAATAAAGTTTATATATTTAAATTCAAATATTTTAAAAAGTGTATGCATATCATTAACATTGATAGACAGAAAACGTAATTAATTCTAGTTCTCGACTATGTATACAGCCAGTCAGGATTTATTTTTGAGTTTGATAGGATGCTGACATGTTCTTAGTCACTACAACACCACTGTGATGGTGGTGAACGGCTATTGTCATATACACAAACAGAGTAGTATCCGAGTGTCAAGGAGGTGTTGTACCACTGCGAACACTTCATTGTTATATCAAACTAAAAACTCATTACGAACTAGGTATTCCGTCTTTGCGTATTGCAGAGTTATCTTCTATTGTGAGCAGGTATTGGTTGTTACGTCATTGGTTTGTGAGAGTAACGTCATCAATTTTTGAGAAAACAGCGTAGTTTTCTCACACAACCCAATGACGTAACAATCAATCCCTGCTCACAAGAGAAGATACCTCTGCAATACGCAAAGACGGAATAATCATATAGGTATCTATAGATGACACAGTGCAAATACTATGCTTAAATAGTGTCTCCGCGGACCTTATTGCACTGTCTCAGAGTTCCTATTTCGTCTACGAGTATTTAAGTTAAATGTTTTATTTAACTTATCTGAGATCTTTCTGATTTTAATTGTTTCAGAGGAAGCTTTAAGGATGCTGTGGCCACTATGCCTGTTTCTGTCGGTCACATTTGCTACATCAAACGGTTGGTATATTTCTTATCGAAAAATAATCTACTTATCTTGACATTTTAGAGCATTTTGATCCACTGCCATATTTGTGGGTGCCCACTGATATCTTTAGTTTCCCCTTCTTACTTTGGCGCTATGTTATATGCGTCATATCTGATTTGCTAAATGGAGGTTATTGTTTTGTAAAACATGCCACACTTGTGTTGTGTTTTCTGTCGCAATCAATTTACAATATCGTATTATGCCGCAAAAGCAAAATTTATTTCCAAACCACCAACGTTTAGCATTTTGATACATCGCAAAACACTCTATCAATAGATTTGTTGAAATATTAAACTGCAAACGAAATTATCTGCGACAAAATATTCAACATCAAAAGTTTCTGTCAGTAGAAGCTCCCCTGATCTCCAACCATCCAGCTAAACAGGCTTTTTATGTTTAACTCTATTTTAAGATTTCATTCATTGAATGTCCATGGTGATTGTTAAATAATTTTGTAATACATTTTAAGCCATGTTGTTAAGCTTATTTCTGAAAGATCTTACATATTAACATCAGAAAATCAATAATGTACTTGCATGTTTTTAAATCATAATCCATAAATAGTGTATTTTATGGTCCCGCTATCATTTGCAGTAACGTAATAGTAAAACCTATGACATGTATACATATAGAAAGAATTAATTATGTCATGATATAATCTGATATTACTACAGTATAGAGTTTGTTAAACTCATTTATAGAATCACAAGTTCACTAATTCAAATCAAAATTGAGCGTACGCCAGACTAATATGTTATAGCTTATAAAAATAATTTTTAAAAGAATGGTCTATTTCTTATACAGCATTCTATGGCTGTTTCATTAACAAACTTAGTCGATGTCCAGATTTGTTTAGCATGACAGTTAAAAATGTGGGACAGATACGAGTGTGCGTGATATGCGCGATAAACAAAGTGTTATCTTTGACGACAGATAAATAAATCAGTTGCATTGCTTTAATTACATACATCTAAACCTCTACATATGACTACGCCACATGGTATTACCGAGTTACTAGGAATTTGCTTCGAGCACATAATTTTGTGGTATACATGCGAATAGGGTCCCACGTGTTTTAGACAGGTTGCGTGTTTTTTAATCATGAACTGTTATATAAATATTTACCGCTTACTTACATATACCATTCATTAGTGATAACATGCTATTAAGAGCGTAGATATACTCGATGACTTTATTCTAAAGTAGGAAAATGCCTTGTTGCATGAACATGTGATGTTGCACAGAAATATATATACAGAGATTAGCCATATATCGGCGTACGATTAAATACACACGACGCATACCAATTATCACAAGGAATGCCAACTAATAGTTGTTTCCATGATTTGTAAAGGAAAACTGATTTCTTTCCTAATCTCAAAGTAAGATGGGCCCGCTGTGGGATAGTCCCGATAGAACGGAGGTCTGCCCCATACTGCTTCACTTGGAATTGCATGTCGGATACAGCTCCGATCGAATGAGCTCTATAGGATTAGGACATGGGGAGCAAGTTGGTTTGCTTAAAATACTCTTCTTATCAGACAACCAAGATCTCATATCGCTAAAATAAACGTCAAGGCGGGATTGTTGGAAGCACAGTAAGCTTTAAGTTTTGTTAACGAAGGTTTTCAAATACGTGTAATATTTTCATTATTGTTAAAATCGAGTATGAAAACTGTATGCGTCATGAATTTGGATGCTCTTTTTAAGACATAAGCCCTGAAAACACTTCTGAAAATATCAGAAAATATTTTCTCCTTTATTTTCGGTAAGTTGACGATGCTTCTAATAATAAGACGTAGGGAGTATTTTTGTGAAGATTGGTTGAATTAAGTCATATTTGTGTACTTTATCAAATGAGAATTTTCCGAATAAGCTCATTGAGAACAAAATCCCTTGAAATTTCCTCGGATTTTGGTCTTAAAAAAGATCTTTCGTTTTATACCCATACATTACAGTACAGTGCACACGTTGTCTAAACATGTAGTACACAAGTCTCACTTGGATTTAATCATTTGTTTCGATGCTTGCCTTACAGATCTTCACCTCTTTTAAACAACATGCTTCAAGTCATAGATATTACGCGGGATATTCGCTACAGCGTTATTTTGCCAAAAGCATATTATCGACATATTTCTGCGAGGTTTTTGTAATCACGTTTTCTTGCGAGATAATCTTCGCGCATATTGCAAGATATTTGTTTTGCATTTTTCTGTGAGTTATTTGTCATTGCGTTATTTACTATCATGCTATTTTGCAAGATATTTATTTCGTGTTATTTTGCAAGATATTTATAATTATTGCATTATTATGCTACCTATTTACCATCGCTTTATTTCGCGAGAGGAAACGATCGCCAATTCAGATACGTAACAAATATAACTATATAACATATAAAAAAGCATATAAATAAATAATTATTTTATTGGTACACACACAATACATACATACAATCCATAGACACGAAATGAGTAACTATAATAAAACTTAGGTTATAAATATATGATTATTTTAGTGTTACACATACAATACATAGAAAGCTTCCTCTAATAACACGGTAAAGTTAATATAAATCTTCGATATTCCTATTCCTATCTTTAAAAGAGAAACTCGCCGAGATATCTGGACAAGACTGATCACCACCCAACGAAGAAACCTTTGGTTTTGCTGACTTTGAAACGGAAAATGTCATTGCATTAATTTTAAAGATGATACATCTTGATACAACTGATATCCGGTGCATTTACAACTTTATCATAGTGCGCCATTTCGCCAATAGTATTACGACTGCCTAAGTAATTGAGACCGTATCATTTTATTTTAAGACAATTCCTACGGATTGATTCATGTACGAGCATCTTGTGGTATGTTCTAATGTTAAAACTACATTACATTACTATTCGGGTATTTGCGATTTGCGTGACACAGGGTAATTATTAATTTATTACACATTTAGTAGGACAGCTATTGATCTTAACTCATAGTAAATAGTCATCGCCTTGTTTGACCGACCAGTAAAGGTGTAAATTGTTCCAAGGATTCCGATAAACAAACGTATCGCTTGCAACACGTCATGTAAGTGCTACATTAAATATGTCACATGAATCATAATTATACGCAATGGAAAGTTAATGGAATCTGTTTCTACTTAATGCAGTTTAACAGGTCGATTCATCGGTACGGTTTGAAATCTGATATGATGATAATGATTTCATTACAAACTAAAAGCTATAGAAAGTAAAACCGACTGGCTCATTGAGAGTTGTAGTTTTGTTTCTCTCTCGATGTATTTGATATAGAGATGAACTGATACACAAGGTTGTCCCTATGGACAGATATCTGTTGTGAAATATCGTGTACTGTTATAAAAAAAATGGAAATCTATGCCAAACAAGACAGCCGTCCCTGAATTAGAACATCATATCATGTACCATAAAATAAATTTCTACATTCTACCAATTGATATTCTCCAGGGAGGACTGGTTCGTATCAGCTTTGTTTTTCAAATTATGGTAAAAACCATTTGAACGAAGTAACAAAAAATAAAATATCCATCACATAAAAATGTTTCCAAGATAAAAATAGTTTTGTTTGTCATCAAAAAATGATCGCATATCTCCCAATATTTGTTTTCACTACAAAAGTAATATTAACTTTTAATCAGTTCATGCTAACGTTTACTTAAAAACATGCATCCTTAGATACGTACTTTTATATACTGTGTATCAAATATTCGTGAGTACTTTATTTCGCGGATTTACGTTTATAACTATTTCGCTGATACAAATTCTCATTGTCTGGCGGAAGTTTGAGCCAATTTTTTTTTTAATCTTTTCTACCCCTTTGGAAATATGCCATGACAAATTTGAAGGCTCTATACACAGGTACACTTCTGGATTCCTGTCTTTGACTAAAGTTGTTGGAAGGGTGCAGCAAGACTCTGTGTAAAGTCCTGTATACAAAACTCCTCTGTAATTGTCAAAATAGAATAGTCTAACAATTTGTCATATGTTAGTACCTGAATTCGATAGACAAGTTCCACAATTATTAAAGTTTCTGACCGCTGCATCGTTTCGAACCACTATTATCTTTCAAACTATTTATACATTCTTTGTTGTAATGACTGTTCACGTGAAAGCCAAGATTAAGCGGACAGAGCTTAGCTTTATTTTTAGACTTGTCATATACAACACATAGAAACAATGTGACACTGGTTAGCTTACATTCCTTCTGAATAGATTTTTCAGCGGTTTATAACGCAATGAAATTGATTCAAAATATCATACTCTTTCTTTTTATATATATAGTTTTTAATGAATTACATCAAGAAAGGCCTGTCCATTATATTGAAGAATACAAATCAATCAGGGACACCCATCTTAGAATAACAAAGTATACTATGGAATGTCCTTTGTACAGTCGCATTAGCAGCTGATGTTGAATAGAAAGTGAAACAGTAGGATTACTGGCACTTAAAAGAGAAATATTCCCTAAAACACATGGTAGATAATAGAAAAACTGGCTAAAAGGTGGCTGTATTAAAGCAGATCGGTTGCAACTATGATATTTTAACGGACACAGACAGTGTTGAAACATGACCGTTGCCAATTTTCTTTTGTCGGTGTTTCTTCCCGAGTTGATGTAGTGTGTGGTGCAACAAAAATGTCATTATTTGTGTAGCTGTTAAAATCATTGTTATCATACAGGACGTCAATTTTCTCTAAAGCATCTACTTTTCGTGAGTAAATATTATTTATAGTAAAGTTATTAATTTCGCGAAATAATCAATTATTGATTAAATGTAGTTCTATAATAATATATACCTCACTAGATATGATTCAGAATGGGTGTGTATTAAGACGATAAAAAATGTGCGTTCATTTTGGGACATTTTTTAAATTTCATATGGCGAATTGTCAAACTAACAGAGCTTTGAACAATAGGGACTTTCCGTCTTGTTGAAGGGACATGT